TTTTTTTTTTCATGAATTATATCAGTATTAACAATGGTCGTCGACGGCTCTATCAACTGATCTTCTACTTTTTATCATTAATCTATCATCAGTTCTTGTGCCTTTTCAAGGTATTTAAACAGTAATAGAAAAGTAGTGTTTTTTTTAATGTGACTATTTCAGTTTGTTTATTATATCATTGGCAAAAAAATCAGAGTGGGGGCAAAAAAGAACTGAAAAGAAGTTAATAAAGTGCCAACTATCTTAAGTTATAGCGTTTTAATTGCTGAACTTAATATGACAATTGGTTCTTTGTGTCCAAAATGAATTATTATCAGTGAACATCAGTGAACTATCAAAAAAAATTTTCTTTTTTATGTTCGGTATTATATGTATTTGTCACTTTTGTAAATGGAACTTGATGAACTTTGTTTAGCTGTTGCTTGTTGTTTCAACAAGTACATATGTACTGTACAGTATAAAAAGCCTATAAATAACTGGTTACGTCATTAGCGTTACTAATTTTAGGTCTAGTTCCACCACTACCTATTAATATCAAATTGTCGAAAGTTGATTGTAATCTTCAACTATATTTTTGTATAAATATCTTCTTGTTTTTTCATTCTTTTTTTTTCTTTACACTTATCAAACAGCTATACACTTTCTAAACTGAATTTAACATTTTGGCACTAAAATTTTATTTTAAAGCTATAAATTATATTCCCTTAAAAGCTTCAAAACTTTTCCATTACTTTATCGTAGTAAAATTTGCGCTGTAATTGAAATAATCGGAACTAAATGGTAGTTCAACATAGCTTTGCAATTGCTTAATTTATTTATGTAACATTCATTTTTTTTCGGAAAGAAAGTTCTTAATGGTTGCATAATTCACTTCCCGAATTTCTTTTTCTTGCTTCAAATAAAAGCCTGTTTTTTTTTTTTTTTTTTTTTTTGCTGAAAGTTGTATATTTATCAATGATGCATTAACAATTTGTCAGTGATATCAAGAAAGCCATTTAGCAGTTATAAGTCAGTTTTCTACTAAAATTAATTTTCCTTTTTCTTCTTTTTCTTGTCTTCTGAATTTCTTTCTAAATCAAAAAGTCAAAAAAATCTTTTGATGAATGCAGTAATTATGTTTCCTTGCCACAGTTACTGTAGAACTTTTTTCTGTCTATTAAGCACTTCAACAATAGCGAACTGAGTTTCATTAAGTAAAGATAATTTTGAATTAAGTCTTCAAGTAAATGCACTTGAAGTCTTAGTCAATGTCAGCGTGAAAAAGATACGTTAGGCTACTCGGTGACATTGTATCAAGTCTTATCTATCAGTTTTTTTGCAAACATTGAGCCTATGTAAGAAATCTGCTGCCGAAAACCACTATTAGATTAGGTAAAGCAACGTTTCAAAAATTAGATTTTTCCTGCAGAACCGTTACAGAAATTAAAAAACCATAGTAAAAAATTTATTACTCTGTTATACATTATCTTCAAAAATGGTTCGGTCAATGCATACTCTTCCTCTGACATACTCTAAAAAACTTTTTTGTATTTCAACTGAAACTACTGTCAAGTAAATAGAAGCTTCTTTTTCTGCAGCAATAATGATGGTTTTATCAATGATGGTAGTTATCTGTCGTCAACATGTTGCTCAACAACTTCTATTTTTTCGGTGGTCAACGCAAATAACAGCAGATTGTCGCGTTTAATGTTTCTGCTCTCAGAAGCCTTCCTCTGATCAACGACTGCAATTATTTATAATAGTTGTTGATATTGAAACTGTTGGAGAAAACAAAAACCGGTGTATGCCGTTCAATTTTCTTCTTCATAACGACCAAGATGACATATATACAAATGCACACAGAAACGTTAGCGTCACGAGAACCTGAATTTCGTGTTTACTTCATCCCGCGAATTTTAGCAGCGGCTAAAATTCAGTGATAATAGCTCGAACACTGTAAACAGCAATTAACTTCAAATTACCGCTCAAAAAGCACCCGGAACTGCTCAAAGATCAGCTTGATAACCATCGGATTCCAAAAAGTACATTCTGCCTAATTAAGAAATTCAGCAGTTGCTTACGCTTAAATGGTTTTAATTTTTTT